TGTTTGAAAACATAGTTTGTACATAAGAGTATATAGCAAAAGTAAAAGACGTGACTCCAAATGCTCCGTCTTCTCCAAAAGTTGATAAAAGTACCTGTCTATTGCTGCCATGAGAATACAAGCAGTTTGAAAGAGTATCAGCATAAAGCTGGTGAGTTCATAAGTATTTAGTTCTGGTGAAAATGTTTCTTTGATCCTTTGAAAAGTGTTTCCCAAGAAAATCCTATATTTTCTTATGAAAAATGTTTGATTATCCATTAGTTATTTGTTAAACAGTCCGTTTATGAAAGGTTGAGTTATCCCAGGAAAATCCTACATTTTCCCTAAAAGTTGATGGTTGGTTATCTGTTTCTAGTCTGAGGTGTACAAGTATCTATCATACTTATATCGTTAGACTTAGTTTTCTTGAAAAACCCTGTTAGCTCCCTGTGAGGTGTATTAGCCTTAATACATAAATAAAACTAATAAATAAGTGGTGAACTAAATCCTAAGGGTGTTATTAATACCCTCTAGTAATCGAATCGGTTATTACTTTGAGGTTAGTTCACTTGATTCATTATTACAAAAGTAAATTCATGTTATCTGGGTTGTGGGTGTCATAACCGTACTTAAACTTGATATGGCACGTAGCGGGGCCAGTATCCTTTTATGACTTTGTCACCCGTAGACATGCCGGTCCCACTGTAGCTAGCAGCGAGGTGCGGGATAGTCAGTCCCGTATAGATCTATACACAACAGTCACGCTCTCCCTACAAGAGATTCTGGTTACAAGTGCTAGTCCTACACTCTCGAATTCGGTGGGGAGTGTTACAAAGGACGTGTCCCCAACTTTAGACTAACAATTTACAAGTAATAATACTAAAAATCCTGTTTATAATTTGCATGATATACATTTTATGAAATGATTCACGAGTTCATTACTTTAGTTTGAAAACTGTTTCTACGAGTTGATTTCTTAATCGTTTTGTAAAACTGTTTTCCTGTGTTAAAAGCATTCTAAACATGTAATTATCTTAAGCAAAATAATATAATTTGAGCACAAGTTTCCTTGTACTTTTGCTTGTATTCCCCCCCTGAAAACATGAAAAACTCGGAAAAAGCGTAGGGGTATGAACTCACAGTTTGACGTGGGGTTTCGAGTGTAAGTTGCTAGGAATTGTTGAGTGTCAAATAAAGCCTCGGGCACAAACGGATCCTATTTAGCATGTAGAAGTACATATATGTATTAGGTGAGGGCATAATACTATTGTTATGGAAAGAACCACCTTAGGGATTAGAAAACACTTAAAACTAAGTGTTAGAATCACATGTGATTGAAAAGGGGAGTTTGCGGCCGTAATCAGGAGTGTACGGTCAGGGGTTTACGGTTCATGGGTTTACGGTTCCATGGGTTCACGGTCTAATGACCTTACGGTCATAGGGTTTACGGTCCATGAGTTTACGGTCTTTGGGTTTATGGCCCATGACTTTACGGTCATTAAAGGGTGTACGGTCTATGAGTTTATGGTCATTGAAGGGTGTACGGTCTAAGGAGATACACTAGACCGTAAACACCTTTTGTTCATGGAAAAGTGACGATTTCAAGGCAAACCTCAAGAATTCTAACTAGATATAAGTATAAGAGGATGATACTTATGATTTGAAGGCAAAGAAAGGTGTTTTCGGTCCAAAACACTAAGATGTTCTTGAGGATTCTTGAAGATCTAGAACAAAAGTGAAATCCATGGATGAATCAAGAGTGAATCATGGATATAGGAAAGATTAACACCCAAAGGAAGGAAATCACTTACATTCTTGAGGATTTCTTGAGCAAACTCGAGAATTGTAAAGAGAGAGAGTAGAGAGAGAAAGCCTTTGAAGCGTGTAAAGGGTGAAATGAAGGCCATATACTCTATATATAGGGTAGAGTTCTCGGTCAAGGGGGTCCACCCGGCACCGACCGTAAACGGGTTTACGGTCTACACGAGTTTACGACCGTAAACTCGTTCTGACCGTGAACTCGGCAATTTTCGAGGAAGTTTCAAGTTTTTCGCGTGATTCCCGGTTTATTCCGAATCGTATAGAATTTTAATTATATCCCTAGTTGATTTACTTAACCCAAGAATTTGACGGAAAAATTTAATAAGATTAAATTTTAGTAAGGGAGATGGGTTAAAAATAACGGAAGAAATTTCGGGTTGTCACAGCAGACAATAGCGAAAAAACAATACTCGAAGCGATCCTCCAAATCAATTTGTATGTACGCCACAATCCTAGGATTATGTTTCTTCAAGTTGTGAAAATAAACTACAAGTTTGGAGAAACTTTCTTCGGGGGTCCTCGTCATCAATCCCATAGCAAATTCTCTAGCATGTCACGCTTGTGAATAGTTCAAATTAAATAGCAACACATTCATATCTCTAATAATATCTTTAGGCCTCCAAACTCTCAAACTACCTTGACCCATAATGTCATGGATTATGGTTCCCACAACTCCACTAGTTGCTTTCCTATGATTTGGGTGTATAAGTAATGAAGAACATGTGTGCTCCTCATTAAAAGTCTTAATTTCAAACATTTTAGTTCCTTTTAATGACAGTTGCATATAAACGCCAATGACAGTTTTCTTGCAAACAAACAACCTCGTATCGAGATTTGCTTGATTTTTTAACCTTAATCTGAAACTTTTCTTTAACCGCTTTGAATTTAACAGAAGTTGTTAGGTCTTTTTTGGTGTTATAGGTTTGATTCACAAATATTTTATCATTCGGACCTAAGCTGTGAAATGGTCCAGGTTCAAGAATAGGTTCTGGACAATCACGAATAGGAGGAATACAATCCCAGGGATTAAAAGCAATTTTCTGTTGCGTGTACTCATCTTCCAACCAACCTTCATTTGATTTTTCTTCAGATAATTGATCATCAAAATCAGGTACTTCTCCAAACTCAAATAAATTTTGTTGTTCTATTTCTGGCATGTGCAAATTTGGTTCATTATCATTATCTGATAAAAAGTTATCGTTATCTGATACAAACTTATCAACAACTGAAGCTTTCTTCTCATAACTCACTCCCATGTCATTTCATCGTCCCCTGGACCGGTTTCCACCATATTGTCTATCTCCACGACCTCTACTACTTTTTGCTCCAATAAACTGGCTTTTCACCACTGGCTGTTCTTCAACTTCTTCGCCTAACACCGATAAATACAAATGCACTTTCTGCTTTGTTTCAAACATTACATGTTTCAGGTGATCTACATCTGATTCATCTACAAGCTCCATGACATACCCACACTTCGGGTGTTTAAAAGACAAAGATATATGACTATTGAAAACATCGGCCTTATTTCTAACCATTTGTAATAACATCTGATGGTCAAAGTTAGGAGGAAGATTTAAATCATAGTTTTTCACATTATTTCCATTAACTGAGCCACAACCCTCCCGTACAAAGAATAATAAAACTCATTTTTACAAAACTCTCTCTACAAAGATAACGAAAAAATGACTTCTACTTGTTAAAGCATTCACAAAATTGAAAAAAAAAACAAAAAACAAAAACAAAAAAAAAAGTCGTTTCTGGTCACTAAAAAGACATATAAAACGAAAAAAAATCGTATACAATCGGAAATTATTGCTTAAACACAACTAAAACTAGCATTTTCACAGAAAATTAATAAGATCCGCAGAGGTGTTCACATATCTGCAGAGATGGAGCAACGACCTCTTCTTCAGAACATTAGTGCGATCCGCAGGGAGGATATGCGATCCGCAGAGACGCCTCTGCGGGTCTTGTGAACCCCGGGAAAAAAAGTTGTCGTTTAGCAGATCCGCAGAACTGTTCTCTATTCCTCAGAAGTTTTAACGGATCCGCACTGCGAATCTTGTGGTCATTCTACAAAAGATTGATTTTTATGGTCAAAAGGTTCAAACATCCCCAATTTTAGTTATTTAACGAAAATTCTCACATTTAATTTACTTTAACTTGGTAATTAATAAAATATTTTTGAAGGTTCACTTTCAAGTACAAAACTATACATTATTTATTTACTTTGGGTACCTCCTAAAAAGGAGTAGTAAAGAGAGATTTTTTTGAATCCCATTAAAACAAATTAGCAATGACAAAAAAGAATGTACAATGCCATGTGGCAGCTTCCTACCTAGCTAGGTCTTATGAATGCCTAAATTGCATATGCGCCGTTCATCCCTACCGGTTAATAAATAAGTCAAAAAAATAAAAGAAAGTAAAGTTCTATAAGAAAAAGTGCAATTATTTTAGTGAGCAGTCGATGAGCATGAGCAATAATGTTAGGATTGATTAAATTTGAATGGCGGTTTCTGCCCATCACCGGGAAACAAGGGCCTCCCACATAAAACTTGGATAGTACCATGAGATACACACAAAATATACACATACACTTTTCTTATTTTTTCTTTCTTTTTAGCAAAAAGGACGTATCTTCTTTAACCTTCATTACAATACAACCCGCATATTTTGTTCTAACTTCTAACAAAAAAGTTAGAATCCAACCAACCCGACAAAATGTATGGTAACTTGGAAATGTTTCATCTAATTCAACTCTAAGTCTTAACAAAATAAAAACAATTCATGTTTGACTTGGTGACTTGTACAACTCAAAACATTATTCAATCCTTTTCTAAATTCAAAATATAAAAGTAGCTTGGTTGGGTTGTGTGGTGTTGTGGCCCATTGATGTTGTTGTCAAATGCCCCCAAAAGATATACAATAAATAGTACCCTACTACTGGGTGAGAATAAACATCAAAATGCATAAACAGTTTTTGACAAAAAAAATCTAGTATATATATATTTATATACAAGTTGACACTCCATCTCCACATAAAGGAAAAAACTAGGAGTTTGATGTTTCATAAGGTAGCTTCTAAGTCACTAAGTGTGTGATTAGAAGCAATAGCAATACCCAACCCATCATAATTAGAATAATGGCAACAAACAGAAACAGTTTATAGTTGAAAACATCAACAACTATGAGTATTTGTAGCACAATTTTTTATATCAAGAATATTTTTACTCCAACATCATGCTGATTGATGGTGTTCCTTCTCTATACTTTGTAATTTGATAATGAAAGAACAAAGTGTATGGGGAAGTAAAAGTATGAAACATGGCGTCATAACTTAGCATTACTTGAACAAAATTGTATATGTTGAACAAGTTTTGAAGAGCCTGAGTGTGTGACTTGACATCCATCCATCATCATCAGACGTTAAAGCGGAACAACATTACATCACCCTCTTGTACAACATAGTCTTTTCCCTCCGACCTCAACTGCATATGCCATGTGTTAACATTGTTAGGTTAGGTCTAATACACATAAAAACAAATACTATCATATTATATGGATAATGGATATCAACATAACATTCTAGATCTAGTTTACGCTTTTTGCTTCTAATTGCTTTCAAATGTTGTAATCTTGGACGTCTTTAATATGGATGAGAGAAAAGTCACAGAGATCTAAATTGGGGAATCAACTTACAACTCCTTTTTCTCTCGCAGCTGACAATGAACCAGCAGCAACGAAATCATTATAAGCCACCTGACATAATAATAATAATAATAATAATAATAATAATAATAATAATAATAATAATATTATTAACATATAACAAGATACAGGGTGGTTTGAAAAGGTATTCAATTCATTTGCCAACACACTCACTGTTTCTGCTCGGATGAAACCTTTCTCAAAGTCAGAGTGGATAACCCCTGCAGCCTGTGGTGCAGTCATTCCTAACACATCAAATGCTAATTCCATTAGTCACTTTTACCACAAAATTAATAATATTCAAACACAAACTTCATATATACTGACAGTAACTCAAACCTGCATGAATGGTCCATGCTTTGGTTTCCTGCAAAAAAGATTTGAAAATTTCTTTAATATGTAAAATGCACACAAACCTTTCAAAAATAAAAAAAAAAAATACATTTCAGCTTTCCACACCTTCTCTCCAGAGGTGAAATATGTACGTAAGCCAAGAAGGTTATATGTGGCCCGGATAAGATTTCCAAGCCCACTCTCATCTACACCAAGAGATGTCAAAAACTCTATTCTTTCTTCTGATGGGAGTTCTGTTAGCTCTGACTCCACCTGCAATTAAAAGTTTAAAAAAATAAAAACCCAACCCTATTTTTATTTTTACTAGAAACTAGAAAAAAAGATTGTTTTATTGGATAAATGTAGCAAGGTTACTTTCAGTACCTGAGCAGAGACAGTGACTATTCCAGACTGTAACTCAGAAGCAAGTTCCATGACATTTTTGACATGAGGATTATTCTCAGGTGAAGCTAAATCAGACTCTGCAACATTTGCCACATAAATCACAGGCTTCATTGTAAGTAAACAAAGATGATTTATAGACTCCTTTTCAAACTCTGTTAAGCCAACTGATCTTGCTGGTTTACCACCCAATAGGGCTTCCTGTATTCTTTCCAGGGCTGACTTTTCTGCCTCCTCCTGAAATCCATCAACTCAACTCATCCAACACTTGCAACAAGAATTACGTACCAAATACCAATCACCACTCTTACCTTTGCTTTCACTTGTGAATTATTAGATTTGCTCTTTTTCAGTTTCTCTATTCTTTTTTCAATCTGCATTTCTTTTCCATCAGTTTAGTTCAATTCCATCAGTTCACCTTATTATACAATACTACAACTATATCATCATACAACTTGATCTGTCTTTACAATTTACAAAATTTTTTGATGAATATAAGAAGACCTTTAGAAACAGACTGTGATAGAAGAATACCTGGTCTAAATCTGAGAATGCTAGCTCTAAGTTGATGACATCAATGTCTGACTTGGGATCAACTTGCCCACTTACATGAACAATGTCATTGTCCTCAAAACAACGTACAACCTTGACACAGGTAAATCAGAGTTTCAGAACAACAAATATGATACTTGCAGGTTTAGGTTGGGACATAACTCATAAAAGAATATGTATGCAAGTAATTGATTCATCAATGATCATGAAAGTGGAAAAAAGAAGTACAAATTGTATGCTAGAGAGAGCTAAAGATAATTCAGATGAGCAACAAACCTGAAGAATGGAGTCCACTTCACGTATGTGTGACAAAAATTTATTACCCAATCCCTGTGGCCAAAGATTGAGAAAGGATATGTGTTAACAAATAAATGGAAGGAGTTTAAATTCTGAATCTGTAGAGAGAAAGTAAGAGGGTTGTAAATAAATAAACCTCTCCTTGACTAGCTCCCTTCACCAACCCAGCAATATCTACAAATTCTATAGATGCTGGAACCGATTTTTGAGACTTGCTGAGATTAGAGAGTACTTGGAGGCGTGAATCAGGAACAGCAACAATTCCAACATTTGGTTCAATTGTACAAAATGGAAAATTAGCAGCCTGAGCTTTTCCATTCTCAACCTATACAAAGTAGATCACGGAAATCAATGTTGAACTTGTCCAGTATCATGTAACTGAATTTGAATTAGCCAAATTAAAGTCAGAAAATTTAAGGTAATATCCCATTTAGGACTTGACAGGGTATGATATGGCATTGCTAGTGTGCTAGTGTTCCTAGAACACAAGTGATGCATTCAACCAGAGGCCTTGTTTAGGAAGATACAACTTCAATCACCTTCGGTTCTAAACTCTTTATTTATCTATTATCCACTAAAGAGAATCGTCAGTGACATATTTCAAATACGAAATGCATATGTAAATACGAGTTTTTTATCAATTTCGTATTCCAAGGTTGGATTCGATAGAGCAGAAAATGTGAATTGAATGAAGAGACTTACAACGGCGTTGAATAGAGTAGATTTTCCAACATTAGGGAGACCGACAATTCCAGCTTTCAAGCTCATGCTTATCTTGGAATTTGAAGAGAAACGCCGACGGAAGCCAATGGAAAGAGAGGTCTCCGAGAAACAATTAGAAGACGACCTGGTCAAGAAGGAGGACTTCAATGGAAGTGCAACTATATGGTGGCATGCTATCCTTGCCATTTCTGCACAGTTGATGCGAATGCGAGAGAAGTGGGGTTTATCTGGGAAATATGATTATGAGGGGGAGGTTGCAAAAGCCTCTGCAATAGGGTTTTACTACCAAGGAGAACCTTTACATTTCTATCGTTAAATGCACTTCTATTTTTAATTTTAGGAAAATGGGTCGGTAACAAAGTATTAGGTAAAATAATAATAATAATAATAATAATAATAATAACAACAACAACAACAACAACAACAACGACTTAAAAGGGTAATATAATTTTTTGATTTGTAGACATTTGGTTACTGAGTTTTTTATTTTTTGTCCACATTTACCCCTTCAACTTGTTAAATTGTACACATTCAGTCCTTATGACCAATTATTCCAGGTTAGCCGGAAAAAATAACTTAATAAAGTAATATATTTCTCATTTTGTACACATTTACTCCTTAATATTTTTATACACATTTACTCCTTAATATTTCTGTACACATTTAGTCCATAATATTTTTTTGTTTCAAAATAAGTCTTTTTTGTTTTTGTACCCATTCAGTACTTATAAATGATTTCTTTATGTTTTTTCTCACGACATCTTACGTGGGACAATCATTGATGAGGTGTTTAGGGCTGTTGATGCTTATATCCATCGCGATCTCGACAGCTTGGTTGCGTAGGTCTTGTGGTTTTGCTTAAGTCTTATGTTCTGAACGTCGTAACTTCTTCATACGATATCAGATTTTAACGATATTTATATCCATGTGTTTGTTTGTTGAGTCTACTACAACTTTCGTTAAGATTACTCTCGTTAAAATGTAATATATTTTTACTTACGATTTTATAAATATTAAAAATAAAAAAAATAAAAAAATAAAAAAAATTCATACATGCATTCATAAAACATGTATGGATATAAAGATCGTAAGTAAAAATATATTACTTTTTAACGGGAGTAATCTAAACAAAAGTTGTAGAAGACTAAACTACGAACGGATAGATATAAAGATCGTTAAAATTTGAGATCGTATGAAGAAGTTATGACGTTCAAAACACATGACCTAAGCAACCAAGTAGTCGAAATCGCGATGGACATAAGCATCAAAAGCCCCAAACACCTCATTAATGATTTTCTCACGTAAGATGTCGTGAGAAAAAACTAAAGAAATCATTCATAAGTACTGAATGAGTACAAAAAACAAAAATTACTTATTTTGCAACAAAAAAATATTAAGGACTAAATGTGTACAAAAATATTAAGGATTAAATGTGTACAATGTAAGAAATATATTACCCTATTAAGTCATTTTTACCGGCTAACCTGGAGTAGCCAGTCATAATGGCTGAATGTGTATAGTTTAACAAGTTGAAGGGGTAAATATGGACAATAATAAAACTCAGTGACCAAATGTGTACAAATCGAAAAATATATTACCCTTTTAAATCATTATCCCTAAAAAAAGATGAAACTGTAAGATTGGTCCTTGTGGTATTCAAAAAAATCTTGGATATGGTCCAAAAAGTTTCCAATTAGCATGGAAAGTCCAAAATCAAAGCTTTTCTGGGTTTTTGGTCCATGATACACTTGAAAAGTCGATTTTTGCTCTTTTCATTTCTTTTTTCTATTTTCTTTATTTATTTTGGTATTTAAAAATAGAAAAATCTCTCTCTCTCTCTCTCTCTCTCTCTCTCTCTCTTTCTCTCTCTCTCTCTCCAACATAGGGAATCACTTGAGATAATCCAAAAAAATATCAAAATAATCTTCCACTTGAGATAATCCAAAATCCTTCTGTGACAACCCGTAAATTTCTATCTTGTAAAGTCAATCCAATCAACCAAAAGTCAGGCTTATTTCTATTACCTTTTATCCTTGTTAAGGTTCATTTTAATGAGTTCTAAGCCCAGTACACTTATGGATTAGATGTTGAGAAGTGTTAGCTTAGGATTAGAGGAATGAAATCGTTCCGGAAAACCCATCAAAGAGCGTTCACGGCCGTGAACCCAAGGGTGGCCGTGAACCCCTCCCACATATATACCTTTCTTCCATTTATTCCTCACTTCTCCTTCCCTTGGCCGCAAACAACCCATTTCTCTCTCAAGTATCATCCACAAACACTTCAATCTTTCACTCTTAAAACACCCCTTTCATTAGATAATCCATAGAAGCTTGCTAGGATCTTCAAACACTTGCCAAAACACCTAGATCTTCAAGTGTTCTTCACATTTGGGTCGTGAACCCTTCAAGATTGGGCCGTGAACACCAAGTGGGCCGTGAACCACTCATCAAGTTGGGCCGTGAAACCAACTTGGGCCGTGAACCATTCATCCATTTGGGTCGTGAACTCCATTGGGCCGTGAACTATCCTTCATTTGGGTCGTGAACACCCAATCAACCTCCTAACTAGTTTCCAACACTTCTTTAGTGAGTTATCTTTGCATCCTAGCCTGTTTCCCAATCACCTTTGTAGTTAGATTTGCTAATTACATGCCTATATGTATCAATATGTGTCATTTAGGACTCGTTTGTGTCTCGGGACTTCATCCGTGGAACTTCTCATCCTTATGCGAATCTTCAATTGAATCACCCACATAAGGTGAGTTCATACCCCTATAATCAATCTTTTAAATGTTTTAAATGCTTTTAAGGGGGGGGGGGGGAATACAAGTTGAACACAATGATAATTGTGTAAATGTTATATGTGATAAACATCATTTTAAAGGATTTCTTATGTGTTTATAAGTGATCAAATCATTTCAAAAACTCTTTTAAAGTTATGCTACTTTATTGTTTATAAAACTCTGTTTTTAAAGTACAATCATAACTCAGTAGATAATCGAGTCTTTTCTACAAAACAGATACAGTTCAAGTAAACATACTAGTAAACTATAATAGGTATAGTTTAGGGGTTCAGTTCATACTATCACTAGTACAGGGTGGAACATACTATAACTAGAACAGGGAGGAACATACTATAACTAGTACAGGGAGGAACATACTATAACAAGTTCAGGGAGGAACATACTATAACAAGAACAAGATAACAATAATGTGAAACCACTACTTCACGACTTAGCAATATACTTGTTATGTCGCGTTTTGTAACCAGAGTCTCCTGGAGGGAGAACGTGAGTTTGTGTATAGATCTATATGGGATTGACACCCCACACCTTGCTGCTAGCTACAGTGGGACTTGCAAGTCTACGAGTGACAAATGTCATACCATTTTCGACGTCTATGGAGCGTCGTGTTTTATACTAGTCAAATCGAGTATCGTTATAACCTCATCAAATTTTAACCTTAATTAAACTTATTGGTTTTAAGGTAGTTAGTACTTCAATAGTTATTTTATACAATACTACTGTATACTTTCATTTTCCCATTACATCCATATAGTGATATTCTCACATAAAAGGTAATGCAAACTATTTTCTAGTAAAGATAGTTATAAACTAGGAAAAACTTACATCATTACAAACGACAAGTAGAACAGTCGAGTCTTAATACATTCAGCTAGGAGGGGGCCTATAATGCTAACTTTATGATTTCTCGGTAGATACATCAGGGATATAAATTAATCGGGTCCGGTAGACAGTAGAATGTGTGATTTCCGCTTCATTTCCTGTTCCTTGTTTGGTTGTGGGCTTAGAGCAGATTCACCCAATCTACTTTCTATTCGATCTTAGCTATATATATATATATATCTATATATATATATATATATATATATATATATATATATTATATATATATATTATATTTCGTATACACCAAGTAATCATAAGGAGTACCAGGTATGGGTAAGGTCATAGTATACAAATTAAATACACCGTTTTCTAGTAGAAAAACATACTTTTCAGATAGAACATTTAGTAGGCTAAACTAGAAACTTACCAGTAAAGGGTTTAATTCATTTTATTAAACCGGTATAACTTAAAGGACCTTTAGTGGTTAATTCTATAATATCTTAGTTTACACATCAGGGTTATATATAATTAATATCCGATAGGTAGTTGGATGTGTGCTTTCTGCCTTACTTCCTGTTCCTTGTTTGGTTGTGGGCTTAGGGCAGATTCACCCAGTTAACTGTCCGTTCGATATTAGATTATATATAGCTAGTATAAACTAAGTGATTATAGAAGGAACTATTGTGGTTACCATTTTTACTAAAGGAAATAAGGGTTTTTCTTAAAGAATGTTTTCATCAAATATAAAGGAACTATTACAGTTAACTCCGTGAGTACCAAATGAATACGCCAGGGTTATATACAACGAAGATCTAACAAACAATGGGATGTGTGACTTCCGCCTCATTTCTTGTTCCTTGTTTGGTTGTGGGCTTAGGGCAGATTCACACAATCGATTGTCTGTTTACTTTGGGTTTTATATAACTTGTATCCATTGAGTACTCATCAAAGGGATTGTAGAGCTATTTTTACTTATCTTTCATCATATCAGAAAATATAGGATTTTCTGGAGGAACAGGCAAACTTTTCTAAAAGAACTTACAACTTACTTTACATCACTAAAATACTTATGAACTCGCCAGCTTAAATGCTGATCTACTCTTTCAAAATAACTTGTATTCTCAGGAAACTAATAGACAGGTACGTGCACTGGGATTCAGGAGATGGAGCATAGTAGCTTCATGTCTTGTTTTGTTATTTACTTTTAGAGTCTATCTTATGTGAACCACATACTTTGTAAACACTTTCATATTAATGAAATGGTTGTTTGTTACTTTGATTACTATGATGCATGTGTTGTGATACTAAACATGACGTCCTCCGCCCCCCGAACGTTTCTGACATTCCGGTTTGGGGGTGTGACACCTTCTCAGGAGAGTTCCTTAGCAAAATGAAAGTGAGTTCTGAAACCCTTCACAGTGGCGGCGACGATTTTCAGATCTGAAAGTCGACATGAAGATTTGTGTTGCTCTCCAGATCTACCTCTGCCTGCCATGGAAGTTTTCGATCTGAACAAGTTGCCTCCGGGGACGAACATGTTTGAGCACTTAAATGGCAACAAACAATGGTCCGAGCCCTTGATTTTTTGGAAAAAAATAGGTGGTCTGAGCCCTTTCATCGGATGTGATGGTTCACAGAAGATAG